TCACCGCCCCTGAGCCTCTGGCCTGTACCCCAGTTCTGTATGTACAAATAAATAAATCTTTAATATATATATAAAGAAATTTAGTTCTATGTTTCCAAACCAGGAACTCGCATTTAAGGTCTATCAGACTATTTCGTTCTTCACTTTAAGCTGAGAGGTGACTAAGATCAAGTAATTTAGAGATTGGAATGTTGAAATTTCCCAGTTTCACTAGTTTTAACATTATGAGAGATAAAAGATCTAAAGTGACACTGTCTAAAATCCCTAGCAGGTTTAGTACCAGAACATAAGAGGCCTGATGAGCAAGTCCCTCAGTCAGTAGCACTGCATCTTCCTTTCTTTTGGAAGCTTGGCTGCCACAGCAGACCGTAGGAGCGCCTTTCCTAGAACTGAGCCTTAGGCTCACGGGGATTGGGCTCAAGTGGATGAGCACTTTCTGCATTTTTTTTGGGGGGGGGCAAATGGACAACACAAGAGATGAAAAGCAAGCAAACAAAAAACCTATCTCAGAGTACCCCAAAGGCTGTTCTTTGGAACTCATAAATGTGATAAAATAATATATAAATAATAAAATTAAATTAAAATGCCCTAAGAGAAAACAAAAATTCACAACTAGTTACTCATTTGGGGAAAAAATAATTTTCATTTATATCTCAAAATATACTGCAAACCAAATTTCACAGAGATGCAACATTTTAAATATATGAAACAAAACTATGAAATGCTGATATTCATTCATTCATTCTACAAGTATTCTATGCTAAGCCCTAGAAACCTAGCAGGTCACAACACAGACACAACCCTGGTCTATGAAAACACAACCTAGAGATAGCAACATGAAAAAGTGAACAAATAAAAAATAATACTTGATTATTAATTAATGCTCAAAGAGGAAAAAAAGGGATGATGAGATAAAGAATACTAGTGGGGGTGACTACTGCTCAACAGACCACATTCTCACTGAGGTGATTTAAGCAGTAGCCTGAAAGATGAAGACAGTATAACAGTTAAGGATTGATAGGCAATTCTGTGTACTGAATGGTTTTCTAGGAGCTTTACATAAATTAACCCATTTAATCTTCCCCAAACACTGATAGGTCTTATTATGTTGATTCCAATGTTACAGGAGAGGAAGAGAGGAAGTAACTTGCTCAAGGACCCCAAGCTAATTAATGGGGAAGCCAGGTGATACCAAGCAACCTGCTCTGAGTTCTCTCTCAAGAACAATCGCTGGAACAAGGTGTCTGCCATAGAGGTGGGGGGCGGGGGGGGAGGTGTGGAGGGACAATGAGGAAGAGAGGTGGTTGAGAATGACTGAGCATGCGGGCATGCACATGCATATGGAAGTGCATACACATGTATCCCAGCAAAATCCCAGGGGCAGGAAAGACGTCGACATGTTCCATGAATTGAAAGGAGGCCAGTGGGGCTGGAACATAGTGTTCGTGACTGTCAGGGTTGAGGCTGGTGAGCAGGCTAGCCAGCTCATGCTGAGCCTTGCAGGCCATGGTAAAGAGAATGCTCTGGCAAGGCTGTGCCAAGATCCACCCACACTTGAAAGATCCCTCTGCTATGTGAATACTACCAAGGCATTCTTGCTTCCCAGTTAGTCTATACAAAAAGCTAGATAGAAGATTAAGCTACCTAAAATTAAGTTATTTACTTATTTTTAAAAGACTATACAAAATCCAAGGCAAGGGATATATCAATGAAAAATGTATATTTTACAATAAAAATACTCTTGTAGATCAGTAACAAAAAAACAAGCATCATTTTGGAGAAATGGGCAAAGGCTGGAAACAGAAAATTCACACAAGATGAAATATAATGGCTCATAAGCACACGATGAGTGTTCATTTGTCCCAAAACAAACAAAAACAAACAAACATGTCCTACAAAAGGAGATGAGGTAGACAAACTGCTGTTTGGCCATATAATGAATACTTTTTCCTACAGGGGAAAATAAAACATTTTGTTATGGAAAAAATGTAAAACATAATTCATTGGTATAGGTTAGTACTTGATGATTCAAGACTTGAATGGGTTTACCAGCTTGGGAGACATGGTAATGTAATATGACAGAAAACCATGTAATATCGTTGAGGCTCAATTTTCTTATGTGCAAATGGGGTCAAAAAAGTACTATTTCACAGGTTGTATGAATTAATAATTAATATATAAAGAACTTGGCACAGAGCATGTGACAAATGTTACTTACCTACAAAAACCTAGCAAGTGAACACTTTCACCACACACACACTCATACACCAAATAACTTTAACAATGATTACCTCTGGAAGTGAGATGACATATTTTCTTCTTTAAAATGCTCCATATTTTAAAATTTTTCTTTACTTGAATAAAGCCAGTGGTATATTAAGGTAATTCCTTTTTTACAAATAGTCCTAATAATACTGCTTTCACTCTATTAAATTTCTCTATATAATTCAGCCTCTGCATATTGTTCTTATGGAAATAGGGTATACCTTTATTGATTTAATCTGAAGGGTAATACATTTTCATCTTTCTCAGAGTCAAACAGCTTGCTCATATTTCATCCTACAAAAGTCTTTTCTGCACTCTTATACATTTGCAGATTAAGAAAATTCTGAAGGGATTACTAGAGCATAAAAGATGGGGGAAGAATGGATTAATGTTTCTAAAAAAGCAAAGTGAAAGGAGACAGACAACTTCATGATAGTTATAAAAAAAAAAGAGCATATCTTACCTCAGTTATGTAAGACCAGAAATTCCTGCAATAAATATCTCAACTCCACGGACAATTTACTAGTGTGGTCAAAAGATGGAAGTAATTCAATATTTCAACAGTCCATCCAGTATGGTGACAAGCATTCTGAAAGAAAAAGAATCTCGTTGAGGGAAATGTGATAAAGCAATATTCCTTTCGAGGTTTGAGACCTATAGGAAAGGGGAGTCAAGTATTAGAGTTGACTATACAGTTTAGAAATCAAAGCATCGTTGTCCTGTTGGGGGCAGAAGGAGCAGGTCAGAAGGAACCTAAGACACCATGCAAACATGAGTCGCCTTTGCCTCAGGTAAAAACAAGCTGCTTGCTCTGGAAGTAAGTCACCATTATTCAAAGTTAAGGACTGGTTCCCACTTTCTTTCACCTTCAGTTAGGTTACTGTTTTCCATCTATTTGTCAACATATACTACATCAGCTCATGAAAAACCAGCTCACTGATTTGTACATTTTGATACCTCTGCCATTTCAGACTCAGACTGCTCCATAACAAATGTATGAACTTTCTCTTAAACCTAGACCCACTGAGGACTTTTCTCTGTGCAGCAGCTCCCTAGGACTAAAACCTAGGGGTTGTTTTCACATTGTCCCTCTCCATCCTACACCCAAGATGAGTCATCGCCACTTGCCCTGATCTGCTGCTCCCTAACTGACTGCTCACTCCTCTGTCAATGCTATTGTTTGGCAACCCTACCTTTCTGTCAGTAACAGTCTCTCTATCTAACCTGGCCTCTCTCTGCAGAGCATCACCTATCCACTTTCATCCTATCATGTGTGCAACCCTGAGTAGTCCTCTATTGCCTGAGTCTAGGTTTTCTTAACAGTAAAATCAAGAGCTAATTTAATATTCTCTATCCTCCTTTGTGCTTCAGAACCAGATGTCCCTGAGCTTGAATCCTGGCCCAGGCACTCTGTAGAACTTAGAGTTCATCAAAACTCATTTTGCTATATATATAGAATGGGCATAATATTATCTTCCCCCAGGCTTCTATAAGAATAACAAAGATGAGGGCCCTCTCTGGTAGCACAGTAGGTTAAAGCACAGCACTGAGAAGCTAAAGCCTCTTCAGCATGAGTTCAATCCCTGCCCTGGAGGTGATCCACATGGCACAGCAGACCTCTCCTGACCCGCCTGCTGCTCCCCTCAGCAGTGTACTTTGTCAGTCGGCCTGTTTTGCTCCTCACTCTGTCTCTGGGGAATCCTCTCACTATCCCTGCATCTCTGGACTGTACCCCAATTCCATATGCATAAATAAATATTTTTTTAAAAAAGAATAACAAACATGGGCTTTAGTGTCTGACATATAGCAGGTGCCCAACAAGTATCACTCACTCCCACCTCACTGTACAGGTTATGTATCCTCTACCTTTAAAGTTCTGTTCTAACTTTCAAATCTGACAAACTCTTATGTCCATATCTATTGTCATAATTTCCTCTTTCATTAAAGATAAATTCTGCAGCTGCATTTCAGATTCTTCAATACTAGAGTTCTACTTAAATTTTCAATAAATTTCAAATTTCAATGAATTTTCAATATTCAATATTCAATTTTCAATAAATGTGTTCTATTGTAATTAAACACATTTAAAAATAAATTCCAAAATTATATCTGACTTTTGCACCTATTGTTCCCATACAAGACATACTTATCTCCTCTATAACAGCCCACCTTGACAGTCTAGGGTCTGTGGATATCCACCTTTCAGACAATATGATCTTCATACAATGTTTGTATAGTATTAGCCACTGTTTTGTGCACCTTGAACTTGTCTGTCCAGCTGTAAGGGGACTATACTCATATTTTAAGTTATTTTTAAACTTAAATGTGGGCCATGTTAAGACTTTTTAAAAACCCACAGTTTAAGTTCGGCACTGCAAGTACTTTTTGAAATTTATAAGACCTTGTGCCTTGAGGTCGAGTCTTTTATTAATTCCACCACTTTTATTTGTATGGAAAGGTTCACATAGGTGTGTTCATTCCAACATCAATGAGTAGACCATTCATAGATCATTTGGAGGCCTGCTCCTGAAGTTAGATATGATTCTAAGTAAGCCTAATGTCACTGACTTCATGTCAAAATGAACTGTTCTAATCTTAAACACCATTTTATATCCAACAAAGATGATTCATAGTGGGGAAAGATCATTGCTTGCTAAATTGTTACCTGAGAAAAAGATGATGGTTCAGTCACCAGGTCTTGAGAAGGGAAAGAATGGAGGGTGACAGGGAGAGAGAATCAAGGAAGGAGATCTCTAGTGGGAGGTTACAGGGGTAGGAAAGTACCCATTTAGGTGGGGAGGGACATGTGCCCAATGACAGTGGTGTCACATGCTGTGGATGAGGATCAAAAGATATCCCTGAGCCCTCCCTGGTGGCGCAGTGGGTTAAAGCACTGCACTAAGAAGCTTAAGCCACTTCCACATGAGTTTGATTCCCACCCGCCCCGAGGTGATCCACATGGTGCGGCAGACCTCTCCTGACCCGCCCGCTGCTCCCCTCAGCAGTGTACTTCGTCGATCTGCCTGTTCTGCTCCCCACTCTGTCTCTGGTGAATCCTCTCACCCTCCACATCTCTGGCCTGTACCCCAGTTCTGTACAAATAAATAAATAAATCTTTAAAAAAAAAAAAAAAGATATCCCTGAGTTTAACAAAGAGTAAGGAGGGCAATTTTCCACAGGACTGATAGAAGATACGGACTGCAGAGGCTTGAGGAGAAACTGGAGGGCAAACAGAGACAAGCAGAGACTAGTCAAGAACTTTGGTTATTAATAAAAATTTGTGCTGGTCATTTCTGACTTTGAAGTTTACCTGACTTACTCTAATAAAAACATCTCACCTAATGCTCTTTCTCTTGCTCCTCCCCTCTACCTAGGAGTTCTACTACAAAATAATGGGCTGGAAACCCCTCCACAGCTCCTCTGACATCAGAGAAATTGCTTTGGTTCTCCAAGAAACTTTGAGAACTATTCAACTGCTACAGGCCACCTAATCTAAATATCTAAATTATAGTTTCTTGCTTTAGAAAAATGACAGTTGCTCATTTAACAGACACCAAAATATACCTGCTCAACAGAGCAAGTGCCTTTGGGTCACCTGTATAATTTATGCTGAATTTTCAAAAAGATAACTTCAAATACTTTTTCTTCCTTAAAAGTAGTGTTTGCTCTTTAAGTTTACATCAAACAAGAATAAAGAAAAAACTATAAGCACTTGTTGATACTCCTATTTTGGTAGCATACACATTAAACATAACACATAAAACATCAAACATAACATTAAACATAAAATGCAGGCCCTCCCTGGTGGCGCAGCGGGTTAAAGCACAGCACTGAGAAGCTAAAGCCACTTCTGCATGAGTTCAATTCCCGCCTGCCCCGGAGGTGACCACATGGTGTGGCAGACCTCTCCTGACCCGCCCGCTGCTCCCCTCAGCAGTGTACTTGTTGATCTGCCTGTTCTGCTCCTCACTCTGTCTCTGGTGAATCCTCTCACCCTCTGCATCTCTGGTCTATACCCCAGTTCTGTACGAATAAATAATAAAATAAATTTTAAAAAAAAAAAAAACATAAAATGCAAATAGATTGCATATATAATTTCCATGGAAGAGAATCATATAGCATTATTATAAGCTGTTTTTTCCTATTTATTCTTATGGAAGTATTATGCCATTTAATAGCCTTCTATTCCTTTATTTTTAATAACTATATAATAATCCATTTTAAGAAATTTAAATGACTTAATTTTTGATTATATAACTAGGCTAAGATATAGACTAGGGGTAAAATCAGGGATAAAGTGCATGAAAAACATACGCCTTTGGGATCATGCTTAGTGAAATAAGCCAGAAAGAAAAAGAAAAATACTGATGTTTTCACTCATAGAAGGAGCATAAAGGACTTGGGACAGGGGAGATAATAATAATGAACACCTATATACATGACATTTTACAGGGCTGGAGTGGGGAATGGGATCAAAAATGGGTGGGGGGGAAGTGCACTGGATTATGGTGATGACACCCTTGTGATTTGGTGATGGGAAGCTCACAGGGATTACAACTGAGATGGAAAGGGCACAAAATGATGTAAAAATAAACTATTATATTAAAAAAATATGTTTTTGATGTTGTTGATAATCTGCCCACAGAATAACTGACCCACTTGGATGTTATGAGTGGTACCCTCCTCCACATTCTCTCTAAAACTGGCTAGAACTATCTTTTTTAATTATCCAATTTAGGGGCCTAAATTCATTTCCATTATATCTTTGAGCTCAAACTTTTTATTTCTATCTTTCAACACTTCTAGTTCGGGTTCTTTATTTTTCTGCCAGTGTTCATCTTATTGATATAGTATCTCTTCCTCTATCAAAGATATGGTTAACTTATATCATAGTAATGGAGAGATGTTATTTTAATTGGGAACATTTGGCTATCAGGATTAAAATCAGTTATGCCAGAAGGAATTCTTACAAGGATACTAGTTAAATCAATTTTATCTCAGGTGTTGTAAAAGGTCTCTCAATTTTTATGTGTAAAATAGAAACATCTCTTGTTTACCACATAATTCTTTGTTTAATGGACAAGGAAAAATACAGGTAAAGACTTGAGTGAAAGTAACAACTGCTAAAACAAATAAATGTAAAATTACTTTTACTTGCTAAGCACTTATTAAGATGCCTTGTTTGTTCAGTTCTTACAATGAGGTGCTATCATTCCTGTTTTACAGATAAAATGTAACAGGCACCCATAATTAGTAAAGTTACAATTAGGTTTTGATTTTACAAATGAGCATTTAGTGATCTTTTATTTGTTTTCAAATTTTAAAATAAACTACTTTATGTTGTATTGATCTTTTTAAAAGTACGTGTTTACAAAATTATTCTCAGCTGTTTTTTAGTACCATTTCTTCACTTCCACATGAGTTCGATCCCCGCCTGTCCCGGAGGAGCTCCACATGGAGCGGCAGACTTCTCCTGACCCGCCCACTGCTCCCCTCAGCAGTGTTCTTAGTCGATCTGCCTGTTCTGCCCTTCGCTCTGTCCCTGGTAAATTCTCTCACCCTCCGCATCTCTGATCTGTACCCCAGTTC